GACCTATTGTGAGCAGATGTTTCCTCATAATGTCCCCTAACATCTGTGCCCGAGTAATCCTATTGTCAAGACATGTTTCCCCATAATATCACCTACAGTAACTTATAGAATAGTGCCAGACTCCCACACCCCAAATCCTTTGTGTAGAATCAATTCCGACTCCCCGGCCTCTTGTATGTACATCCTACAGAATTCTTTGTTAACTATTTCCTGGCCACATATGCTGTATCCCACCCATCCTGATTCCGGAATACGGAAGGTATAAAAACTCCTGACACCGTTCTTCAGGGCCAGCATTTTCCCTCTTGCTTGGGAGAGGCTGTCTGTCAGGCTACTATTTCTTTATCTGATATATCAAATAAACAAAAGGCTTTTTGAATTCTCTCTTGAGTCAAGATTTATTGGCAATTAATTTTGGCTTGGTAAGTCTAGGGGCTAGCCCGGACTCAACAGTACCTCTTATATTCCAATATCCCCTCTCAGTAGAGCTAATAATAATGTTGGGGGGGGCAGTAGTCTGATTACTGAGAATTGCTGCCACCAGTAAAATCATCCTGCTATCAGCAATTTCCTGTAATTAAAGACTTCCCCATATTTCATGGCTCCCCAGCAATGAAAAGGAGTACATGGGAGCCTGAAGACCTTCTGGGCATAAATCAGATATGTCTGAAAAATGGGCATGGCTGATGATGTCATCAGCCTTAGGCAGCATCAACTATGGCAACAGGATTTCAGCCTCTAGCAGAGATTTCCAAATATCTCAATAAACCACAAATCCCAGATTCACATTGGATACAAACATGGCAGTTAAAGCAGTATTGAGCTAATTATGTAAGAGAAACACAATCTAGAGCTGTGGAGTGAGGGGTCAAGCACACCGTCTCCCATCATGGCTGCTCCAGTCACAACGGCAACTCCTTGGCAGGTGCTGTTAAAAACCCAGGGAGTACAGTAATTAATCTTCTGCCAAGTTCTCTAGCTTCTTGTCTTTATTTATTTATTTATTTATT